TGAGATCATAGTTTACAGCCTGCGGAATTGTTCTGTCACACACACTCGATTTCGCGCAACTACAATTCACAAATGAGATCACCACATGCTCTACCTACACGAGCTATTACGGTATTGTTAGCGTGAAACAAATGAGTAATTTGTCTGACCCGATTATTTCGCCCTTCGCAACCTGTTCCAGGCTCACAATGTAAGTCGAATGCCATGTGCGCAGTGGCCATACACTGCAGCCGAATGCTGTTAGCCCTGCACTAAGCTCAACCCTCGCAACGGAGCGATGTCAAGTAGCATTCCACAGTCAGCTCAGTTTGCTCGAAGTAGTAGCTTTGATATTCATTTTCTCGTCCAGACCCCCCATCTCCCCGTACTACCTTACCACAACCTGACGATGTTACCCTTACATGCACTGCTTAACCCAATACCGGACTCGCCAAACTCGACTTCTCATGATCTCGCAATACCAGTATCAACCCCATGGAATAGCCCTCCCCACCTCCTGGACGACGTTATGGATGTCGAGTTCAATGTATACGTCACCCGCAAGACCTTTGTGGAGGAGCTCCTGCGATATCGTGAAGGTGCTATCATTGAGTATCCACGCACAAGTAGCACTGGCAGCATTGGGCATCTATTCAAGGTTCCAGCAGAGCAGTGGACTAATCCATCAGCCAGCTTTGCATATGCGCAGGGTTCTCCACGAGGCCGCTCACCGAGGACAAAGCCGGTCTTCTGCAATGTGCTACGGGACTCTATAGGGAATATGGTACCTTGTCAGGAGTCTCATTCGACTTGTATGTAGCTGTTTCAATTCAATGTTCTATTTTTGCTTGTCTTCATGTAAGATATGTCAGGTCAGGGGTGCAAAATATGCCCAAGAGCAAGTGATTCACTCTTCGAAAGCTCGCATACATTTGCAACGCGCCAGGATATCAAAAATCGACTCCGTCTTGATCGCGAGCAGCATGCGTTGTCTGCAACACCCCTACGCACTGTCTTTGAACGAACACTGAGTCGGATTGCGGCTTATCGCAAATATGGCTGTGGTGCAGCTGTATATGGTGCAGATGGCTATTTGAATGAGTCAGATGAGGTCTGGGTTGATCATCTTGAGCTTCGTGCGGCTCACGAGAAGGCTCGCCGAGGGTATCAGCCCTCTGAACAAGTGAAATGTGGAGGCCGGCTTCTGTTCATGTATGACTTTGATGGCGAGCCATTTCTGCAGTGCGCACAGAAGTTCTCTCATTGTAGCTTAGACCAGCACTAACACAAAAGCTCATTACTAGGTGCGAACATTATAGTCGTCACAATCGATCCCATTTTCTCGACTACAGCATTCGAGACGGCTCCTACGATCTTGAGTACCTGGAAGCAGTCTTGACAAACAACTATGACACTGTTTCACGCCTTGAGGCCTTGGCAGAAATGGCAGGATATGGACCTCTGTCGCCGTGTAACACGCTAGTAAACTTCACTTCTAATCGTGTCCATTGTCGTAAGACTTACCAATCATGACTCAGCATAGACCGCACTGACTCGCACGCTCGTTGCAGCCTGTGAACACCGTGATGACAATGATTGCCTTATTCCACAGGAAATGCTTCCTATACCATGTAAGAGCAGACTACAAGTTTTCGAGCCTCTGCCGGAGTATCGTGATACTTGCCCGTACGTTCTCGTTGTCTGCACCCACGAACATTCACATCCAGTACCACTCCCGACAAAGACACCTGCACATATTCGCAAGATTATATTTGATCTACTTGTCTCTGTAGGGCAGGAACTGCCCGATCTGACACCTCGACGCTTCCTGCGTCATTCTGTCGTACAGGCACAACTTCGCGATCTTCTACCACATGTTCACTGTCCCACATTGAGCGACCTGCATATCTCACTGGCAAACCGAGCGCACCTTCAGTCATACATTAAGCAGGCCAAGAACCTTCATTTTCCAGACGGGACGGGATGGAATGGTGAGATATATATCATAATGTCATCAGAATCAGTGTACCACTGATATTTTCGAAAGGACTCCGGCACTGGAAGCATATACAAGATACCACATTCAAGCCCGAAGATATATATGTACGGTACATGGCTGAATTCCCATCTTCGCATGCACTTCTGCAGCTGCACGCAGAGGTCGACGAGGCAAGCGAGTGCGAAGAACAACCGAATCTACGTGTTGTCATTTGCATGACGCCGGCTCAGAGCTGGCGTCTGCTTCGCGCGCAGTATCTACAGAGTGATATTGCGTTCAAGCGGGTGTCTGGATACAAGGAGTTTGAGCTGGGCGGCTGGGATCACGAGAACAGAACTGGTATGTACATCAAACCTGGTTCTCGCTTCGGCCATCCCTGACGGTGTTCCAGCGATCATTTTCTGTCGTGTTCTCCTGACGCGGGAGACTGCAGAAGTCCATCGTTTCATATTTGACAAGATTGACGAGATTGTGAAGGCCGACACCGGGTCGATGTTGCAATGGCGACATTTACATTCAGCATCTCTCGACCAGTATGTCGGTGTTCTCCAGTTGACGGCTGACCAGCACCTCGGGCAGGCAAAAGGTCGATACTATTGTGTATTTTATGAGTCCACCTGCTGATCGCGTTACTTCCTAGGGTTTGGTCTGTACCTCTGGCATCGCGCTCAGGCTCTGCCACCTACACCTGACCTGCATGAGCCTGATCGTCCAATATCATCGTTATCGCCTTATGAGCACCTGCATCGAATCTTTCGCCTGTGCACTGTACATGTATTCCGCAATATCAAAACATCTCCGGTTGCAGATGATGTCAAAGCACTCATGCGAAGCCTAGTTTGTCTGGAGCACGAGGATTGGGAGGGTACAATAGAGGCTATACGAGAGCAGGGTGGTCGGGTAGCAGCCAGTATGTATCATCACATTATCACACATTCTGACAGGATCCGAGTCGAGTCCTGACGATGTGGATTATACCAGATTGGATCGAAGACAAGCTTCGCAGCAAATTTGCATTCGAGGGTATGTGCTGGGAGAAGAGTTTTATTCCGCAGGATATTTGGCAGGCGGGAGAGCGTCACAGTAACCTCATTGAATCACAACATGCCGATGCGAACAGAGAAGGTACAAAATGCAGCCTACTTGGTGGGATTGTCCGTGGTAGGCATCTTGATGTATTGAAGATCAAGACTCTCGTGGTGTGTATTATCAGTCGATTTTGCTTTTGTTTCCTGCACTTATTCTACTTATCAGGCTTCTGAAGACGTCGGGGTGCGCCCATCATTCCAGATTCATGATGGTACTCGGAAAGCTTTCCAAGCATTGAAAAGGCAGCGTGAGTCGTTAGTCTTATGCGTGAACAATCTCGGGTACTGATCATCTGCGACCACAGAGAAGGGCCGCCGTAAGGCACATATAAGTCAAGACACGAAGATTCTGTCAGTACAGAAACAGCTCACAAGGAAGACGAAGGCCCTTGACGCTGCTCGTCGTCGGTTACACACCAGGGTGACTAGTGGCAGTCGTTTTGATGCTGCCAAAGCGGAACGTGCTGTGGTCAACGCCAAGAAGGCATATACACAGGCAGTCGAGAATGCTGCCGCTCTGATGGATAGTGGATCAGGCAGGATTACCACATCCATAGTACCTCTTGTCGAGCGAGGTTTGCATGAATGAACACGAGTACTTTATTTTGAATACTAATATACTACATTGCTTTAAATGCACACCTTGTCCGTCTCAGTGTACTGCTCAGCGTCAGAAACCATGCACTCGATGTCCTTGTCACTGAGACGAGACGACAATGCAAGGTCGAGCTGAGCGTGCGCCCGACAACCGAGGTCTGGTGGCGGTCCCGGAGCAGTGATACGATCAACGAAGGTGGATAAGGAGGCATGCCCTGCGAACCACCGTGATTTGCGTCATGCTTCGCCTGTTTCCACAAGGGGCGTGAGTGTACGAAGATCACCCTGTGCATGGATGTCTTCAAAAAGGCAACACTCGTGGTCTTCACGCTCGCTCGCGCGGAGAATAACCTCGTTTGGGCTGGGGAGAAGGAGCTCAGGAATGTTGTTCGGACCCTGGGCCTGGAAAAATCACAGCGCTGTCTTAGCACACACACACACCTACAACGGGCGCACATACCTTCTGCACGAACACTTTGTCGAGCTTTTCGACGCGGTATTGCGGGCCATATCATGGCTCAATTCCCAGTTGCCCTTTCCATGTAATTGCTCGTGCTCAGCACCTTTTGTCATTAGAACAATGCAATCTCTGTCGACACATAGACTGTCAGTACATCGCGCATCTCACGCTCACTACTACCTTCCGGGTCCTATTTGTCCCACTTCTCGGACAAGCTGCAGCACGCTGAGAACAAACGTCTGAGGAACAGCCCAGGAAAAATACTCCGAAGCCCACACTGCGTAGTCGTGCTACCGCATCGTGATTTGCTGCTCGTCCGCAACCCGAGGCGCACCTGCAGGTCTTCGTATTGCGCGATGATGCCAACCGCCTTCTGCCGCCCGTCGAGCGTGTGGGGGTGCGCGAACGCATGCAGCACGACGCGCATCTGCGCCTCCATGAGTGGCAGTGCCGTGA